AAAGCAGAAACGGTAGTTCTCTTTTGAAATATGTCGTGGCCCTAAAAAGGGCAGGCCGTTTGGTGTGTGCTTCTTAGAAACGATTCAAGCAAATCGTATAAGGAGAGCCGCTAAGCAAGTGACGCACTCATTCGGCTTTAGCGTCGTCGACAATGAAAACAATGATGCAATATTGTAGCAACCCGTACCTGGGAGAGTGGTTGAAATCACGTTATTTTGGCTTTATAAATATTTGGTAGCAGCTTGCGAATCCATAACTGGGGCCAGCAATTTTGCAATGTCACGCCAAAGACTGCCAACTTTTTTACCATCTTTTATCACCGCTATTGCATTTCTGTCATGAAAACTATTCTTCTGTCGTTGGATAAAAAAAACAAAAAAACTTCCTATTTCAAGTCCACCGCGATATCCACATAGTGAGACATTCCAACCACCGGAACTTGCTGAATGATAACTTTCACCGTGATTAATAAGCGTCGAGTCTGATAAGGAAGCAATGTCACGATTCGACCTTTATGATGAAATACTAGTAGTGATGTCATTCTTAGCCAATCAGTAAAGCAGATGCATAAAGGTCAAAGATGATTGCTAAACTGTAAACAAAAGCATCTTGTGCCATCGCAGCAGAGCGACCCAATTTTTCTTGTCTCTTTATTATGATAAGATTAGACATGAATGAAAAGTGCCAAGCTGCCAGACTGCGAAATCCGCATAATAAAATTGCTAAGTCCAAATTGTGTGGGACTATATCGACGAACTTCAGGAATAAGTTGTAGGGATTTTGTTCGACGGCTACCAGTAACGCCGACTTGGACATTTGAGGGTTTTGAGTTTGACGAAGATGGCAGTGAACGTACAAATAAGATCTGAGATCTGAGCTATGAATTTTTATAATTTTTACTGTGTAAATTTGTAAATTATTATTGATCTTGTATGACGGTTGATTCGTAATTTGTCGAGACCGTTAATCATTTTACGCAGTTTAACCCCTGACATTTTAATTCATTTTGAGTTCACGCGTATTGGGCATGTTTTATTATTTCTGGTTTATTTGTCACATTATAAGCAATACATTATTTTTGTTTTACTTCTAGTGTTGCATATTGTTCATTTATTTCCGTTGCATGTTTTCAATTGCCGTTCTATTCCCTGCCTCAGTTCAATCTGCGTGTTGTCAATTTTTGCGAATTTTCGTTTTTGTGCCGGGGATCTCCTGGCAAACGCCCACCCCTTCTTTTTGGCAATTTTCCATGTTCAAGACCCTGGGCTTATACCCGGATAAATACGGTATGCAAATTATTGTAGTACATGTAGTTCACATTTAATTCAAGATCAATCGACAGTGATTCACAGTTACTCGAAGGCACAGCAATTTTTGCTGGGGTTCCAGAAAGTCTCTGACTTTCCCTGGGCACCTCGCGAGTCATTGATTTTCT